GGGGATCAGAGGTTGCAGTGATGAGCAGTGGTAGAAGAGTGGAGCAGGGGGTGCATAGGTGAGCAGTAGTAGAAGAGGGGATCAGAGGTTGCAGTGGTGACCAGTGGTAGAAGAGAGGAGCAGGGGGTGCAGATGTGAGCAGTGGTGAAATAGGGGTGAGAAGTGAGCAGTGGCGGAAAAGCTGTGTAGGTTTTTTTGGGTCCCAGTATGCTAACAATTTTCTTATTTTGGCCCTTGATCTAAAAGGTTTAGGATATCATGACATAGACAACCTCTGGTTGCACTTTAAAAAAAAAAAAAAGAAGAATACAGAAAACAAATGTGATAGAGAGGATGATCCAAGCCACTTTAAAGGACTCTCGGAGCCATATGTAGCTTATGTGCCACTGGCTAGTGAACACTAAATTAGATAGATTTTTTTCATACTGTACTAGCAAATCAAACATACCCTGCATAGTTTAATTTGTAGATGAACACTAATTTCCAACTCATGTCTGCAGATTTGTGCGCATAACTGTAAATGTAGTAAAAAGCCTTGAGGTCACGTAAAAGCAAAATTCCTCAGATCAACAAATATAGAAGCTGCTCTGCAAAGTATAAATTGAAAAAAAATCACTTAATGGTCTGGTTGCAAATAACATCAGCGGTAAATAACAGCTTTATTATATTCTGTCCAACCGGTCATCAACCTTGGATGTATCTTGTCTTCTGTTGCTTAGCAGTGCAACATACTATATATATATATATATAGAAAATTCTTAAATTGCTTTGAAAAATGTTCACAGAAAATCTTCTAAGTATACAATGATATCCATTTAACTCTTAAAATATTCTTATAGATACTGCCACATTATAAAACATGTATTTCTATGATATTATAGAGCTCTTCTCTCTCTAGAGTAGTGGTCTCTAAACTGCAGTCCACGGACCAGATGAGGTTGCTTGCTTTTAGCCAGCTTTTGGAACACTATTCCCCCCCTTGATACTAACAATGAGACACCATTCCTTTCACTGACCTCAACAGTGGGGAATTATTCCTCCCACTGACACCAACAATAGGGCACCTACTATTACTCCCACTGACAGTAACAATGGGACACCATTCCTCCCACTGATATCAATGAGGCACTTTATTCTCTTCCTAAAGCCAATGGTGGGGCACTGTTCCTTTCAACAATACCAATAGTGACGCACTATTCCTTCCACCATTACCAACAATGGGGCACTATTCCTCTCACTAGTACCAACAATGGGGCACTATTCCTCCCACTAATACCAATGATGGAGCACTATTCCTCCAACTATTACCAATGATTGAGCAATATTCCTCTCACTAGTCCAACAACAATGGAGCACTATTCCTCCCACCAGTACCAACAATAGGGCGCTATTCCTTCCACTAATACCAGTGATGGAGCACTATTTCTCCCACTAGTTCGAACAATGGGGCACTATTCCTTCCATTTTTACCAACAATGGGGCACTATTCCTCATCCTACTGACCATAGGAGTTATGTATTTTTTTAAGTCCCACTGACCACCAAGCCTGATATATGGTTTAATCCCACTGGCCACAGTCCAGCCCCCATAAAGTCTGAAGGGCAGTATACTGGCCCTGTATTTAGAAAGTTTGGTGACTCTTGCTCTAGAGAAATGTCTTGAGCAGTGTCCTTCACAGTTGACTTCATTGTGGGGAGTTGGGTACAGGTAGGGTTCGGTGCTGAACCCTATAATGTGTCAATCGGTCTGGAGGTTAAGGTTAATATCTGTGTCAGATGGTTAGGAGTTAAATGCTTATATGAACCCAATAAATGTATGATCAAATACAAAACACATTATCATATTTATATAATGAAATATATATCTAAATATAGTAAATAGTGAAAATCTTATAAAAATCTTGCTATTTACAATAAATGATAATTTTATTTAGTAATCACATGATGTCACTGGCTCTCTTCTCAAATCCTTACTGACTGGCGTGGCTATTTGGTTTGGATTGAAGCAGCTCTTGTGACATCCAGGCTGTGTTACGAGCTGCCGTCAATCTTACAGAGATAGGCTGGGTGGATGCTGTATGTCCATGGTTGGTTCTATTGAGGCTGTGACAAATTTAATGTGGCTTGTTGAGTTGGCAGGTGGCATCGTCTGTCAGACTCGCTCATTCAAGTCAATGGGTCTACACCGCAATCATGAACCAAACGCTTGCCTTGTGGTTGTGGTGGGTTCCATTAAAAACTGCCTTAGCATTAGTTAAAAAAATGTAGGAGGTGGCATGATAAGGTTCTGAATGCTTGGAAGATGCTGCTTAGCCACATGAAAGCGAACCACTGCAGATCATTTAGAGTTTGGTGCAGTGTGAACTGCCATACTCATATAGATTTTTTTGGTTCAGCTGAAAAAAAAATCAAATATATTCCTCCATCCTTGTTAACAGCACTGGTGGATTGATCTCCTGCAGCAGCTATTGTATTGTACTCGAACATTGGCTTCATCTAGGGGCAGCACAGTGGCTAAATGGTTAGCACTTCCACCTAGCAGGACTAGGGTCGTTGGTTCGAATCCCAGCCATGGCACCACCTGCCTAGAGTTTGCATGTTCTCCCCTGTGCCTGTGTGGGTTTTCTCTGGGTACTCTGGTTTCCTCCCACACTCCAAAGACATGCTGGTAGGTTAATTTGATCCTGTCTAAATTGGCCCTAATATGTGTATGTATGAATGTGAATTAGGGACCTTAGATTGTACGCCCCTTGAGGGTTAGTGACTGATATGAATGTACAATATACAGTCAGGTTCATAAATATTGGGACATCGACACAATTCTAACATTTTTGGCTCTATACACCACCACAATGGATTTGAAATGAAATGAACAAGATGTGCTTTAACTGCAGACTGTCAGCTTTAATTTGAGGGTATTTACATCCAAATCAGGTGAACAGTGTAGGAATTACAACAGTTTGCATATGTGCCTCCCACTTGTTAAGGGACCAAAAGTAATGGGACAGAATAATAATCATAATCAAACTTTCACTTTTTAATACTTGGTTGCAAATCCTTTGCAGTCAATTACAGCCTTAAGTCTGGAACGCATAGACATCACCAGACGCTGGGTTTCATCCCTGGTGATGCTCTGCCAGGCCTCTACTGCAACTGTCCTCAGTTCCTGCTTGTTCTTGGGGCATTTTCCCTTCAGTTTTGTCTTCAGCAAGTGAAATGCATGCTCAATCGGATTCAGGTCAGGTGACTGACTTGGCCATTGCATAACATTCCACTTCTTTCCCTTAAAAAACTCTTTGGTTGCTTTTGCAGTCTGCTTTGGGTCATTGTCCATCTGCACTGTGAAGCGGCGTCCAATGAGTTCTGAAGCATTTGGCTGAATATGAGCAGATAATATTGCCCGAAACACTTCAGAATTCATCTTGCTGCTTTTGTCAGCAGTCACATCATCAATAAATACAAGAGAACCAGTTCCATTGGCAGCCATACATGCCCACGCCATGACACTACCACCACCATGCTTCACTGATGAGGTGGTATGCTTAGGATCATGAGCAGTTCCTTTCCTTCTCCATACTCTTCTCTTCCCATCACTCTGGTACAAGTGGATCTTGGTCTCATCTGTCCATAGGATGTTGTTCCAGAACTGTGAAGGCTTTTTTAGTTGTCGTTTGGCAAACTCTAATCCGGCCTTCCTGTTTTTGAGGCTCACCAGTGGTTTACATCTTGTGGTGAACCCTCTGTATTCACTCTGGTGAAGTCTTCTCTTGATTGTTGACTTTGACACACATACACCTACCTCCTGGAGATTGTTCTTGATGTGGCCAACTGTTGTGAAGGGTGTTTTCTTCACCAGGGAAATAATTCTTTGGTCATCCACCACAGTTGTTTTCCGTGGTATTCCGGGTCTTTTGGTGTTGCTGAGCTCACCGGTGCGTTCCTTCTTTTTAAGAATGTTCCAAACAGTTGTTTTGGCCACGCCTAATGTTTTTGCTATCTCTCTGATGGGTTTGTTTTGTATTTTCAGCCTAATGATGGCTTGCTTCACTGATAGTGACAGCTCTTTGGATCTCATCTTGAGAGTTGACAGCAGCAGATTCCAAATGCAAATAGCACACTTGAAATGAACTCTGGACCTTTTATCTGCTCATTGTAATTGGGATAATGAGGGAATAACACACACCTGGCCATAGAACAGCTGAGAAGCCAATTGTCCCATTACTTTTGGTCCCTTAACAAGTGGGAGGCACATATGCAAACTGTTGTAATTCCTACACCGTTCACCTGATTTGGATGTAAATACCCTCAAATTAAAGCTGACAGTCTGCAGTTAAAGCACATCTTGTTCGTTTCATTTCAAATCCATTGTGGTGGTGTATAGAGCCAAAAATGTTAGAATTGTGTCGATGTCCCAATATTTATGGACCTGACTGTATATATGTGTAAAGTGCTGCATAAATTGACGGCGCTATATAAGTACCTAAAACAAATAAATAAATCTGATTGGATGCAGCTGCTGTTTAGCCAACAATTTTCCAACCAAGGGATGTTAGGCAGGAGGTGGCCAGCAGAGCCACCTACTGGTTTAGTTTTGCCTGGTCCCTCAAGAGCAGGAACAAAATTCATTGTATGGCCAGCATGACTTTGTGAGCAAATCACAAAATGAGAGGCTGTCAGAGATTTGTCAACACAGCCAAGAAGTGCATCGGCATCATGATTTACATGTTACCTCAGTGCATCAGTCCAGAACATAGGTGCTGACATTGGAAGATGTATGAACAAAGATGGCTTAGTGCCTCTGGAGTGAAAAGCAGATGAAAGCATTGGGGGGAGTAGTACTGTGATTGGGACTGGTATATATGGTGCTCCAGCTATTGACAGTGGGACTGTATGTGCCATACTGCTGATCCTGATGTCTTCGGTCAGCTTCACGCTGCCAGATGGACCAATACTTTCATCATTGGTCTTTTATAATTGTGTTTTGTCTTTGATGTGTTACAGGTGAAATCTCCCCAGTCAACCCAAGAGAAAGGGGCCACCAAGATAAGTGTGAGTATCAATGATCTACATACTCACCTTTAAAACAGGATGAGAACGGTACAAATCTCCCGCAGGTTTAAGCAGTTAAAATTGAGTATATGATGAAAAAAATGTACAGAATGAGTAGAGCTTTCCTTCAGGGAAAACTGAAGTCACAATGATCAGTAGATCTAGAGATATAGGCAGCTAAAGTTACATTAATATTAACAATTTTCCTGCAGATGCTAAGCTGGCGGCACCACCACCATCTAAATTCTGTGCCTCCTTATTGGTCCATTAAGTGGGATAGATGGCCCTACTAACCAATAAGGAGGCTCAGGGGGTGGGGTCATGCTCATTTCTTACAGGACTAATGGAGATTTTCCTATACCTTCAGCTGCTAATTACTCTGCCATATACAGTAGTATCTAATGATCATTCTGACATTAGGTTATAATAGAATGCAAAGTTTACTAATGCTTAGTTTTTGTTTTTTGTTTTTATAGAGTTACTTTTGTCTGTTTTTGAAAGTTAAAATATTTAATTTTTTTAATGTCAGATAGTGGGGTTGACTTGTATGTATGTGTGAGGCCACATATGCCAACACTTCAGTCCTAATATATAGTGACAATGTACTTCATCTTTAGCAGCCGCCATTTTTTTGCAGCATTAGGCCTCATGCACACAGGGCGTTTTTGCAGCCACTTTTAGGGGTGTCAGGCGTGTGGGTTTTTTTTTACAGCTTCCAAACGCCCCTTCATATTATCCTGTGACTTTTAGAAGCTTTTAGTGGCAGGGGCTTTTAGGGGCTGTAAAAACCCCCCACTACCAGTGCGTCCAGGAGCAGCAGTGTTTTGGCAGGAAAAAACGTTTGAAGCATCTAGACACGTGTGTTAACGTTAGGCCCATTCAGTGCTTGAGCGTAAATTCATTTCAATGGCCAGAATAAATTATTATTCTTGACAATGAACTGAATTTACATCCAAGGCTTGACAGTGGCTGCCCAGCTGCAGTGAACACAGGTTGCCCACTCGGTACGGGCGCCATTCAGAGAACACTGCATTTTCTATATGAATGTAAAGATTCTGATTGGAGGAGATGGACAAGCTGGCAGTGATGTCATTGCTGTCATTCATTAAGAAAATTTTCAGCTTCCATAGGGATCGGCCAGGTATGGCACATACATCCAAGTTGGACCAACAAAAGTATACATACCAAAACTTCAGCTCTAAGACCAATCCCCTACTGGTGCTCAGATGCCCCCAGTTTTTTGACTGTGTATTCTGACTGTGGGTGTTGCTAACAGACCTGCAGGAAAAACATAGGCAACAGCAGACAGAGGTCCTGGAATGGAGATAGCACAAAGAAATTTGGGTAGGTATCCTGAGCAGAAGTTGCTGTGAGAGTAACCAGGGTTTGTAGGCAAAAGTCAAGTCGAGCAGCAGCAGAGAGTAATCCATAAACATAGCCAAGGGTCAGGGGCCCAAAATAGGTAAGTACACAGGCTGCCTGACAGTATGTGCACTTTGTAAAGTGAATGTTAATTAAGGTGAATCTGTGTTCACTTTAATCATGTGCAAGGGAATTAAAAAAAAACTGTACTTTTGCGAGCATCCGATTGGCTGATTGAAGTGAACACAGATTTACCCTTGTGGAAGCTAGAAATCAATGAAGTAAACATTGCTTCTCCAGTGATAATCTCTAGCCTCTGGGTCCCGTATGGAGCGGCTGACCTGTTGCTTACTGAGCACAGAAGGTTTCTCGCTTAGCACAGGCACCATTAAGAGAATGCTTTGCATTTTTTCTTAATTAGTGCAAAAAGTGTTCTCTGATTGGAAAATGTGGCGATTGTGACGTCATCACTCTGAGCACAGGAAGCTAATGGAGATGACTGGTGTAGCGATGCCTACTACAGCAATTTCCAGTTTTCATGGGATCCCACAGGTATGGTATATACATCGTTACATTGGTCCAAGCTGGACCAATGAAGCTATGTAAAAATATTCATACCTGGAACTCAACTTTTTGCCTGGGTTCACATACACTCACTGGCCACTTTATGAGGTACACCTTGCTAGTTACAGGTTGGACCCCCTTTTACCTTCAGAACTGCCTTAATTCTTCATGACGTAGATTCAATATTCTTAAGAGATTTTGGTCCGTATTGACATGAGTTACAGTTGCCTTTCTGTCATCTTGAACCAGTCTTCCCATTCTCCTCTGACATCAACAAGGCATTTTCATCCACACAATTGCCGCTCACTGGATATTTTTCTCTTTTTTTGACCATTCTTTGTAAACCCTAGAGGTGGTTGTGTGTGAAAATCCCAGTAGATCAGCAGTTTTGGAAATACTCAGACCAGCCCGTATGTCACCAACCATGCCACGCTCAAAGTCACATAAATCCCTTTCTTCCCCATTCTGATGCTCAGTTTGAACTTCAGCAAGTCATTTTCACCATGTCTACATGCCTAAATGCTTTTTGAGTTGCTGCCATGTAATTGGCTGATTAGAAATTTGTGTTACCAAGCATTTGAACAGGTGTACCTAATAAAGTGGCCAGTGAGTGTATATGTGGTGCGATTTTGATGGCCGGATGTGGTGCAATTTTGTTCAAGCACTGTTCTGCTTGAATCATTCTGATTCGGATTGTTAAAGTGTATCAGGCTGGAAAGCACACTTGCACCACACTGAAAAATGCACAGGACCCTTTTCAAAATTGCATTGCGGCTAGACCGCGTATATGTGAACGGCAAACATAGAAAACTATGTTATTTGACCTGTCATGCAATTTAACACGTTCTGAAACGCATTAGAAATCGCATATGTGTGTGAACCGAGGCTTATGATCTGTGTGTTCATTTTTGCAAATAATCTGTTACTTTTTGGATGGGGTGCTTCATATAGCAGGTAGAGAAGAGAGACAGCAGCGCCACTCTAAGTGTAGATGGTTAAAATCAGGCAAATTTAATGGTAAAATTGCACTCACATAGATAGGTAACAGGTAGGCATGTCAAGTGATGGAGGTCCAGTGGGGGCAACAGGTCCTTTGGCCGTGCTCTGGGTGTTTTCCCATCATTCCGGTGGTGTCCAGAGCTCGGGGAGTAGCAGAAGGAGTGAGCATGCTCTGAACGCGCGCTATCTTGGAAACCTGGTCCATGCAGTGACATCATCCCTACAAGCCTCCCTGAGCCCCTCTGCTACTCCCCGAGCCCTGGACACCACCGGAGCGCCGGGAAAACACCCAGAGCATGGCCAAAGGACCTGATGCTCCCACTGGACCTCCATCACTTGACATGCCTACCTGTTACCTATCTATGTGAGTGCAATTTTACCATTAAATCTGCCTGATTTTACCGTCTACACTTAGAGTGGCGCTGCTGTCTCTCTTCTCTACCTGAATTAGGAGTATCTACAAGCTCTTACAGCCGGCTGCCTCCACGGACAACTCCATACTACCACAAGCCCCCCACTACAGATGGACTTGGACACCACCTCCACATGGACCTTCTACTAACCCCCATTGCTGATGGTCCATCCCCAAACGCAAACAGGGTAGATGAGCTCCCTCTCCCCACTCACCTCTGAATGTACTTCTTATAGCCACCAACTCAGTAAAATGTTGTGGATATAAGTGTTGGTCTTCACACTCACTGGAGTTGAGTATTGAAAGTGGTGGAACCTATTCTACAACAAATTCAGTTGAATGTGATTTATTAATACCATACCAATAATCAGGTTTTTTTTGTCTCAGAAAATAGGTGCAGGAACTCCCCCTTCTGAGTCACCCTTTTTTCTGGCACCCCTACCCATGTCCGAGCACCCTCCCTTAGTTCCTACCCCCCCACCTGCCCGTACTGCTCCTTTTAGAGAATACTGAGCCAAATATCGTTTTGTATGGAATTTGTTAATGATTACAAGAAAAGCAGTAAAATAGATCCAATGCAGCCAGCAACAATAACCCCCCCCCCCCCAACAACAATGTCCCCTCGGAACAAAATACCAACCCGGCAACAACAGCTCCCCAGCAGCAACAATAGATCTTCCCTCAACCAGTAGCTCCCTTCCTGCAACAATTGACCTCCATGCAAAATAGATTACCTCCTCCAATGGACCCCCCAGCACCCCTTGCCATTACATCCATTCAGTGCTAGAGGTACCAGAACTGCGTTCCCGCTGAAAAGAAACCCTGCCAGTAATACATTGTACTATAACTAGATTAATAGGAAACCTTCACAGACATCCTTCATATGCACAATCCATATAATGCTCGTTATTTTGAGGTTGTCTAAACCCTTTGTAGAGCATTCTTAGTTGTCTTACCTGTGATCCAGCTAGCATAGCGCACCCACAGCTGGCATTCTGCCCTCAAGCATCCTGACAATCACTAACCTGCATGATGGGGAACGGAACATTAATCTGATTTACGCTCTTCTCTTTCCGGACTGAGCAAACTTTACATTTCACAGAATGGCAAATACCAGGAGAAGATCAATTTGGAAGGAAAGCTAATTAGCCGCAGAGGTTTTTCTATTGATCTTGCGCTGTGGGCGAGAGGGAGCTGCATTTGGCAGCAGTAGGAAAGAGAGTTCAACACAGGCGCTGTCCCATTGGGGGAATATGTAAATTCATTAAGAATGGTGCCATTTGACAGAGAAAAAAAAAGTGGAGATTAAAAACAAACAAAGCCGGTAGACCTGAAAGATACTATTTTTATTTAGCATTTGCTGTTAGTGTGCTACAGATGCGCCTTTGATCTAAGAGAGCTCGATGGTGACAATGGGCCAAAATGGATGCATGAAAGTTGTGTTGCCTGTAGTAACCATACAGAACCCCGCTGTCATTTTAAAAGGAGAAAATTGTTCTTTTGCGATGAGCTTTACATCAGACTGGGCTGTAAAAATCATTCTGTAACAGCTGCTGAGAGAAAATCAATTCTTGGATGAGCCACAAAGAGAATATGCAGTACTGAGAGTGTACAGAGGTTGTCCTTGCTTACTTATTGTTCTGAAAATGCTAATTGCTTGGTTGTCACGCTGATCCAATGGCTTTCATCATTTCTGAGACACTGACTTGGAACAAGAATACAGATAGTTTTGACTTCTAATTTGTATGCACATTTCAGGCCAGTGTCACGGATAGAGACAGCTAAGCAAGTGTATTCTCAGAATCAGCTCAACAATAACTCCATATTTCTGATTTAAAATGCAAGTGGAGCTGTTAATTTAAGAAACTTTACGAGACCTTGTCCCCATACTAATAATACCAGCAACAATTTTCCCATCGATGATATGTAAAAGTACCTTGTTTTATACATTTAATTCCCCTATAATTGTTGGTGATATCAAATAGACCCACAAACTGCTGCGGGGCACCACGTCCTGGATGTGACATCGCCAGCCACAGAGTTGTCACTGAAATGACACTACTATTCCCCTGCGATCCATGATTTATGTTTGAGGATCAGTGAAAAGCCTCTCATTGATCTGATGATGGAACAGAGACGTTGATAGTAGGAGCTTACACACAGCAGAGTAATGAATACTGCCAGCAGTGCCTATATGGAAGAAAAATATATTTGAAATATACTTTAAAAATATTCTTCCCAAATATATTGCCATATATTTGAAATGCTACAATTTTGTCCATATTCAATATATTTCAATAAAATATATATATATATATATATATATATATACACATATATATATACATATATATACACACACACACACACACACACACACACACACACTGCATGTTGAAATGCATTTTTATTACAAAATATATGAAAAATATTTTTAAAAATACATTTCTAATATACTGTATGGCTTTAATAATACAAATCTACATTTTTTGGAATGCATTTACAATTTTTTGTAAAAATATACTGTATGTTAAAATGACTTTTTTATATGTTAAAAGAAAATCTGAAGAATATATTTAAAAATAAAATATATTTTTAAAATATATTCTTCAGATATTTTTTAACATATAAAAAAGTCATTTTAACATATATGTTTACATATATTTGTAAATGCATTCCAAAAATGTAGTTTGTGTTTTTTAAAGACATACAGTATATTTGAAGTGTATTTTAAAAAATATATGTTTCATATATTTTGTAATAAAAAACGCATTTCAATATGCAGTATATTTATTTATCTATATATATTTATTTATTGAAATATATTGAATATGGCCAAAAATGTAGCATTTCAAATATAAGGCAATATATTTGTGAAGAATATTTTTAAAATATATTTCAAATATATTTTTCTTTCAAGTGGGTGACACCTGCTCCATTCTGCACACTACAGTAAGCTCCTGCTTTGCTTGCACTTTTTGTGCATTAATAACGCTGCACCAACTGCCGGTTCTGTTTAATGACATAATTGGTGCACAGGTAATAAATTGCTGATCTTGCCTTAATGTGTGCTAATAAGTAGCTGTGCAAGCTACTGCTGTCTGTCCACACAGGGCTTGAGGGCAGGAGCAGGGGCTGGCACAGAAAGGAACTGACACTTCCAGGAAGTGGTCAGATTCTTACTGAAGTTATATCTGTCATAACAGGGAAAAAAACATTGTTTTTACATGCACATGCTTATTATTTTCTACTGATGCAAGGTTTTCATTTAAAGGAGAAGTATGCCTTTTTGATTTAAAAAAAAAAAAAAAAAAAAGTTATACTCACCTAGATGGATGTAGCATCGATCTGATGCTGCATCTGCGCCCTGCTGGCTCTGCAGTGAGAACTGAGCAATCAAAGACCACTGATCACTCAGATCTCCTCTCCGCTCTGAGCAGAGAGCTGTGATGGTCTCTGGCTCCTTGCTGTGCCCCCCCCCAGTGGTAACTGGAGCACTGGACTGTGTAGGGGTGGGGGTTAGCTTAGCCTAGGCTCTCGGCTGAGCCTGCTGCCGGTCCAGGCTTCTGGATGGATAGTGACCATATGGTCAGGATCTTTCCAGAACCTGGACTGGCTCTGTGACATCAGCCCGCTGTCGGCTGAACAAATTGCTCTCCTGTAATCTATATAATTACAGCCAAATTAAAATGAACAGAGCATATTCCTCTATGGTGCATACTTGTCTCAATTCAAGGCACCTAGTGTGAGTTCTGCCTGTTTTGTCTTCTCTATGTGTATCTGATGACATCTATGCTATCTGCATGTGTGTCTTATGCCGACACCACAGAATCCCAGGGAATGACTTCACCCCCCTCTGTTAGATGATTGATAGCCTCAGCTGTGCATGTTTCCCTATGAGACTGTATAGAGCAGGAGTTTGTGTCCATTCCATCCACTGAGGTCTGAGATTACACTTGGGTTGATTTATTAAAGGCAAATAGTCTGTGCACTGCAAGTGCAGTTGTGCAAGATCTGAGAGGAGGCTCTGTTGATGTCTATCATCCAATCATGTGCAAGCAAAAGTGCGGTATTTTAATTTTCCTTTCCTCAGATCTAGAGCAACTGTACTTGCAGTGCACAGACTATTTGCCTTTAGTAAACTAACCCCATAGCTCCCTGCTTTGTACTATGCAGTGTGTGATGTCAGATCCCCACCCCTGCCTCAGAAATGCTGTCGCAAATGTTTGCTCTAGGAGGCTGTAAATGAGAGAGGAGTGCAGATAAAAAGGTTCAACTTATGTAGAATTTGTTTCATTTTTCTGTATCTCCTGAGGCTAGTCACTTTATTGGGTATGTGTAAGGATTTGCAACCATTTTAAGTCCATTGCTAGAATTAAAAAACAAAGTGCCCCCTGCAGAGAGAAAGGTTCATACCTCTCTGCCGATCTGTGGTATGCTTCTGCAAGTGTCAGATACTTAGTCACCTATTGCACTCAGTGGTTCCTTCTACGGAGCTGACGTCACTGTAGGACACAGTAGTGAAGTATGGTCAGCAGAAGGAACCATTGAGTGTAGGGGAAGCTTCCCTTCTTTATCCAAGGTGAAAAAAAAAAAACGTTTTGGCTTGAGTTATACTTTCAAGACATTTTTTGTAGATACACAAATAACTCTCTGTTCTCTGTATAGGTGGTGAAGGTATTTGGCAGTAACATATCACACAAGCTGCGCCTATCTAATGTCAAGATCTCAGACGAAGGGACCTACGAGTGCCGCGTGTTAGATTACAGTGATGGGAAGGGGCGGCAGCATCGTGTCAAAGCCTTTCTCCACGTAGAGCTGGAAGCAGGCCGCCGTGGTGCTGCCTCTCACCGCCAACAAGATACCAGCACTCACCGCCACTTTCAAGTGAAAGAGCTCAAAAAGCGAACGGCGGTGCCTTGTGAGGAATGCCAGGTCTAGACTGTGGTCCCCAACACTGATGTACAGAGAAGTGCATGAGAGGCTTCTTACCCTTCTCCATCTGAAAATTGTCGTCAGCTGTATTGGACTGGAGTAGTGAGTGGAAATCAGTGACTTTAAATACAAATAAACCCCATCATGTGAAACTTATCCTTTTTTTTTTTTTTTTTTGGTGAAGGGCGTTCAGGATGCCCTGACAGACTGTTATCCATACGGACTAAGATTGGGGCTTCCTCTGTCACCATCCACCCATTGCTACCCATGTGAGGATCTTCTGCACCCTTCACCATGTACATATCATCTTTCAGACAAGAATCCATGCCAGCCAACATTACAGGAAATAAAGAATTTTCAAGATGCCTTTGCAGCGATGGCATCACCGCTTATATGAACTAGGTGATATGAAAAGCTTTATTATGAAGGTGTTGTCTTTAATAGGCTGCTTTTCAATGTTATCTTTTACCAGATCCACCAACATTCTGTGATGGTTAAAGTATTAATATATAATTAAGTCTGTTTCTGTTTGCTTAGTTATCTGAGAAATGTAGCTTCATAGATGGCACCAGCACTCCTATTCCCAACATCAATGTTGCATAACTATTATCTGGACTTCAGCTGTTGCCTTTTCATCAAAGGATACAAAGCACTGCCAGACTCTCATTGCTAGGTCATCGGTTGCCTTAGGTCATTGGTCATCTACAAGTCACACCTATATACATAGACATTGCTAGAAAAAAAAAGAAAACCATCAAGACATCTGTCTTTCTGGACAACCTTCCAACATGAATGCTGTGCTTCTAAACTTCTGTCTCCTTTTCTTAAATGTCAGGGGAACAATCAGAAAAAATAGAAAATTTCAGGGCCAGAGTCATCTGTATAAAAAAGGGTCATGTTCAGAGGGTTTGTTCTGGTTTAATGAAGGTTCTACGATTTTTTATGAACTGACTTGACTGGCAGCACAAAGAGCAGTGGGTAGAAATGCAGCTAGATTTTAGGTCTACTGGTCTTTGAGGCCACTGTTACCAAAGTGGCCCCTTGATCTCCACCAAAAATACTTACCTTTGCTTTGGAGTAGGGTCCATTGAAGTCTCAGAAGCTGCTGCGTCATATCCTCTGTTAGCTGGGGTGAAGGACCAAAGCTTGGAGAGGTAGAAAGCTCTGATTGGCTCTCTCTGCCTGAACATCTGGTTAGAATATCAGCCATGGACAGCAAACAAAACAAGAAATGAGGCAGTGGCTGCTGGGACTGCAGGGGACCCCCTAGGACAAAGGTAAGTAATTAGATGTGTGAGTGGCAGTGAGAACATTTTTGTAATGGCAGTCTCAAAGAGGATTAGTGTACCTAAAGTCTCTTTTTGATACAATACAATATCGGTCCACTTGGAGACACTAATACACTTTGGATGGTTTAGGTTGCTGTGTTCTGATTTATACCTTTTGAACTTAGTCTAAAGAAAGATTTTTAAGACAAACCGAGCCAAAAGCTAGAGATAATAGTAAAATTTCCATTTGTTACAAAAACAATTAGCGCTTTGATGAGAGTTGAGCCTTAAAGGGAACCTGTAGGGCTATAATATGGAAGCAGCTATCATTAATGCAACATTTGTGCAGGTTCCAGTCATCTTGCCCTTGGCTTCACTACTTGTCTACTTCACTACAGTCACTGACCTGTTTGAAATCAGGATCAGGATGGAAGACCTAGGAGGTATTTCTATCTCCAGTTGCCCTGTAGTTCTATTTCCGTAAGCAGCCTGCCATACGTAAGACAGTAGTCCCTCTAAAAAGTGGGAAGGGAGGAGGGGGTGGGGGTGAAAATGATGAGTTGACCATGGAAACCTGCACTGAAGTACATAAAGCCTCCATCTGGTTTGGTTACTGTGTTTCCCCAATCTCCAGCCCTGCAGAAAACCAGAAGGGGTGAGCCAAGATCGAAGATGGTTCAGTGATTGTGAAATTCTGCAGCTAAAGTGGACCATAAACATTATCATGCAGTGCTTAATAGCAGTTGGTAATGATTATGGTATGTTTATAGGCACCTTAAAATTGCCCTGTTGCAAAAGAAATACAGGCAGTGTTATTGGGTTCCCCTTTCTGAAACTGCTTGTTGTCTGGTTGCGATGCTGAGCCACTCTAGTTTTAGTACTTTTGAGTCATAAGTGTGCAGATCCGGTAAGTCATTGTTCCAGGTCATTGACTCATAGGTGGAATTTATCAAAACTGGAGCGGACCGAATCTGAAGCAGTTCTGCATGGCAACCAATTGACTTCTATCTTCAGCTTGTTCAGTTAAGCATTGAAAATGACAGATAGAAATTGACAGCTGCTCCAGATTCTGTCTGCCTCAATTGTGATAAATTCCTCCGATAGTGTAGAAGCCAGTCAGCATAGCAGCCTCCATATTTCTCTTGACTCCCTTTATTGAAGGTGCGTCTATGGCAGCCAGTCATTCTCCAGCAACCTGTTGTCTAGTGTAAATTAGATAATGAAACCTAACCCTTGATTGGTTATTTTTTGTTTTATGCCGTTTTTAGCTTCAGTATATCGACCCAGGTATCTTAATATATTCACACGGCAGCGTAATCTAAGACGATGGTTCTGACAGTCACAAGGTACCAGGAAGGTCTTTGGGAGGCAAAGTACCTATTATCAAGAAGGTGACAGATGCTGGAAGTTTGCATGAAGAATAAAATAATGGATGTATGATGAATTCAGAGATGCAAATTTATCTGCCTTTTTGTCAATTATAATAACTTGAGTGATTTGCTGATGGCCAGATGCCATAGCTGTATAAATGTTGCTGGACACTATGGAGTTGACTTGCCGTGTGTATGCATCAGCCTCTGCTGCAATACCCATGTGAGGTTCCAATCTACACACTGCTAAACCCATCTACAGAGACCTGTCTAGATGTGACCATGAGACAATTCTGTGTCAAGGAGGTGGCCATGTTCTCTGCTCATGAGATGCCAGCAACACCTCTCTGGATGTAAATAAAGATGATCATTTGCCCAGTCAGCAGTTTGGTTGATTTGTTTCTCTGCATAAGAACTTCGGCAGTGTGCTTGTATACGAGATTGATAGCGACTGCAAGGCTAATTTATTGTATTTTATTCCAAAAAGTGCTTTAAATATGTAAAAATACACAGTTCTTGAATACAGGGTTATATTACAAAAGGACTACAGCAAATCAGGTGATGGAGATGGCACATTTCTCCAAAAACAGAGGTAAGTTAGCAATATGGAAGTGCTTTAGGGCCTGTGTTGATGGAAATTTGTTTATTTCAGATGGGTTTTGCAAGTTTATGGGAATGCAAAACCTGCTAAATGCAGGTCCAAAGGAGGTCAATTGTGGATCAAATATGCCAGTGAATTCTGAATGAACTCTGAAGCATCTCAAACTGATGACAATTGATGCCATTGACTCAGACTCTTGTGGCACCAATACGGTTTCCAAGGACAGGTTTGTCTCCTCCACTATGGAAATGTTACCAATATATAAATCACAAGTCAGGTTCACCAAAAATAGCTTTGGAGCTTTTGCATGGTTCTGTCTCCACCTAAAATGTTGAGGGTTAATGGAAACCCATGAAGAGTTCATCTGAGCTAGTTTCAGCTGTCCTGGATTCTTCATATATTCCTGAGGAATATCCAGCATTAAATGGATGACAGCCAGGAAATAATCATTTTTCAGTCATGACTGGAGAGAATGGGAAGATATTTCCCTGCTAGGAACATGTTGGACAACTGTGTGTATGATAGCTAATCCATGTAGGGATCTTCCTCAAACAAAATAACATGACTTTAAAAATCCAAAGAGCTTTGGATTTACAAAATCCAAGCAGCTGCACTCCATAATGGAAGATTCTGAATACACACCTCTGTGGCAGGTGGTAAACCTCTCTTTCAGAGCTAGCAACAACACTACCATCCAACACTTTGGGTGTGTCCACCAATGGGCACCTTTGTTCTTCTCATTGGCCACGAATTCCTGTATAGATGTAGTGGCCAGTAGGAGAAACAATGACAAACGCTCTCAGACAACCCAACATGTTGAATAGTAGCAGTGCTGCAGGCTCTGCATGAGGGTGAATATCTCACTCACCACCTGATAAAAAGGAAGTATTCCATCTCTTCTTTTTTCCAGGGTGCTGCTGCGGACATTTTATAGAAATAGAAAAGCCATAGGGGGGCTGCCATTGAAGACTGCCTTCTGAAAGTGATAGGTGCTTGATATCTCTGTGTCACAGAATAAAGCTGGCCATAAACAAGTTCTCACATGTTCCTCCACCCAAGCTATAAAATGTGGATGGACAAATCCCCCTTCTGGGCTACTATACTCTGACAGTTGTGGGTGGTGGCTATTAACAGCAGCTGCATCAGACTGGATGCAAACGCTGTTTGGGCAACAATTTTCTGCACAGCTCCTTTGATTTTTTTTTTTTTTTTTTTTTTAATTGAAAAATATTGGACAAAGAAGCCTGAAACGGTCTCCATGATTATGCCCTTTGTGGGGTGAAACGTGTTGGAGTGGGATGTGGACAGGTGAGACTACAGGATATGCTTCCTATACTTATTAAAGTGGTAGTAAACTCTTTAATAATTTTACCTACAGGTTAGCTTATAAAAAAAACCTTACCTGTACATAAAATTAACATCTTCTAAAGTTGAATTGTTTAGGAGATATTAGGCCTTTATGATACTCGGCGCATGCGCTGTGAAGGAAAGGCATACCTGTGATATTCCTTCAGGGCACTGTGCCGTGGCCCAGGACTCTCGCACTTGACGTCATGGCAGTTCAGCCAGTCAGCCGGCCAGAGCTCGCAAACCTGGAAGGAAGACTGGGTGAAGATGGAAGCCCCGGGGAGCCGTGACAACGCTTAGTTTCAAGAGCCTTCATAATGTGCTAGTATGCAATGCAATGTATGCTAGCACATAATGCCTTTACCTTGCAGGGTTTTTTTTTTCTTTTTGATGTGGATTACTACCGTTTTTAAAGTTGGT